AAATTTAGTAATCAATTTCAATACAAAAGTAATAAAAAAATCATTTCTATGTTGTATGAGTCAACTTCGAAGTTAATTTTAGTAATCCCTCCTAATGACTAAGGAACTGAGTTGTGGAATGCCAACAGAAGCGCCGATTTATGCACATCTAGACACACACACAACTCCCTGTACTCCCGGCCCTAACTTATTAATAATTTGTTCAGACTCATTGACCCTCATACTTGGAAGAGATTTCCTATGTCATCTAATTCAATAGGACATCTGAAGCTTGTCTGCTGCCTTCCCTCTGGATGGCCATCCTGCTTTTGTGCACAAAAGCCCCTTGATGAGCAGAATACAGTCGTGACCTCCTGAGGCAGGCCTAACTGTCATCAGGAGCCCATCCCTTGGCAAAAATCTGTCCTTGTCTATTCATTGGTTTTACTTGTAACCCCTGGTGTCTTGCAGTTAAGCAGACAAAGGACTGCGATGTAGCTGTTTACTCTGAGCATCCTTCTTTGTCCTGTATAGGCCCACTGAGAGCAGGCCTATTTTCAGAGATAGCCGTCTTGATAATCCCGTCCCCTTAATTAATTACAGCATATTTCTCTGAGCAAGAATTATGTTTCTCCTTATGAGTCTTCTCAGTAGGCTTTCCGTAGGGATGAAGTTGGATACTGCGGGTGTATCACTCTGCTTGCACATGGTCTCAGGATCCCCCCACTCTCCCCCTACTCTAGGGCTGAGCAAACTTACTCCCCCGGCGCTTGGCCTTTCCTGTTATCAGTACAAAGATTTATGAGGCCACAGTCCATTCACTCATTCAATTTGTGTTTATCATCTTCGGTGGGCCAGCAGTGCCTTAAAGATACAGTGATAAGCAAAATCAGGTGTGGGATCTGCCTCGTTAGGGCTTCCACTCTATTAATATTATTAATTAACTATTACATAAATAAATGTAAAATTGCAACTATAACAAGTTCTGTGAGAGAAAGGCACACAGTGTTATAAAAGCACAAAATAGGGAGTCATCAGTGTCAGAGAAGCCTTCCCTGGAGAAGAACAGAGCAGAGGACAGATAAAAGTTAAAATAAGCTAAGAGCAGAGGGCAGGGATGTCACTGCAGGAAGGAGAGACACCATGAGCAAGGTCTTTTGGCAGGCAGGCAAAAGGAAACATGCCACATTCGAAGGACAGAGAAAAGCCAGTGTGACTGGGGTTGAGAAAACAAAGAGCAATACCAAATGGGATGAAGCCAGAGAGGCAGGAAAGAGTCAGGCCACTCAGGGGGGAAACGTGAGCACTAATTTGGGGAGTGTTTTGGGGACAGAACAGCCTTCAAAGGCTTGTAAAGAGTATTCCTCGGAAAGGAGCTGAACAAACAAGTAAAAGAGAGAAGAGGTCCTGAGAGAGGACTGACTGCTTCGGTTAGTAACTGTGGAATGGAAATGTAACACCCAGGTCCACCCTGTGGTCTGGGAGGGGGTGGGGTGGAAGTCGCCGTTGACAATAACCAGGGGCAAGGACCCCCAGGCCAGGTGTTGGTGGGTCATTTCGTGGATGCTGAAATCACCCAGGGATTACGACAAGCCTTGAGTTATGGAGAAAAGCATAACTCAGTGCCAGAGGCTTTGATGGATGTGGGGAAATGACCGGGAGGTCACAGATAATTGAGAGCTGACCACTGTTGCCATGGCTCTATAGGAACTGTGTAATTTCCCTGTGGGGAATTACATCTTCTAAAGGTTAATGCTAATGGCCATTGCAACTGAGCGTGATTACAGTATTTATTAGCTTTATACAGCCCTCTCCTTTTATGATTTAAATACCTCTTAAACAATATCAAAAAGTTGAAGAAGGGTTTTCAGGGCAAGGGAATGAAGAAACCAAGGCGTTAAGTCTAGAAAGGCGCCTCGGGGTACAGAATGCCAAGCCAAGGGAAGGCTTCCCCTGCAGGAGCGGGGGAGCCAGCAGAGGCTGCCGCTGCTCGGCGAGCTTGTCACTGTAGGAAGGAGCACTTGCGGTTGGTGTGCGGGATGGCCGGGAGAGGGGGAGAGGGCCAAGGGGGCACAGTGGTGAGCTGACCGCGCTTGCCAGAGAGGCAGATCCGAAGGAAGGTGAGGAAGGAGCGTGTGAAAGAGCTCAGAGGGCAAGGCCTCGAGGGCCGGGTGACCAGCAGGAAGGACAGCCGTGTACTGTGGCGACTAGAGAGAAGTAAAGCCATGGGCAGGACCTGGCAAGCCGGGGAGTGGTTCATTTTGCAGAGGCGCACACGGTGCGTTTCTGGTCCTGGAGCACATCTAAGGGAGGTGTCCGGGGGATCACAAATGCAGGTGTTAAACGCAGGGGAAAGGTGAACTGAAAAAGCCTCCTACACCCATCCCGGCCCCCCGTTTTTCTTCACAGCCCGCAGGTTTTCCTGTTTTCTTCCCCCCTTCAGGTCCCCTCATCTTTTTCATTAATTCCTTGCTGCTCAGAAGCTGATGTCATTTTTTATTAAAAAAAAATACTTATTGATTTGAGAGAGAGAACGAGAGAAACATGGACTTCTTGTTCCCCTGTGATTTCATTGGTTCATTCCTGTATGTGCCCTGACCAGGGATGGGACCTGCAGCCTTGGCGGATTGGGACGACTCTCCAGCCACCTGAGCCACCAGGCCAGGGCTTCATCAGCTTACTTCTTCCACCCCCTACTTCCTAGTGCCCTTCCCCAAACATCTTAGGGTTTCCTCGAAGCTCCCCCCTTCTTTCTTAGCTCCCTTCGTCTCTGCCCCCGTATCCCTAACACCCTTGGCATGCTTTACCGCTGTTACCTCTTGTCAGTTTCCTTCTCCAGATTTGGGGACTTAGGGGACAGGGACTCTTTAAAAGTGCCTCTGTACCTAGACTCTTCTGGCCGAATAATCTGTTTAACAAATTAGCTAATTGATCGATTGAATAATTAGTTGACAGGTTTTTCCAATTCGAGGTGTTTTTCATTTTACAGTCTTCATTTAAAGAAAGTGAATGGTATGAAAGAATTCAAAACCAAATCCACAATCCCAAATATCAGAGATGAATTTACAAAGTTTCGGGAACTGAGACACTATTTTCACATGACAGTGGCTCTCCATGTCCTGTCACAGTGCTTGAGTTGGGCTTCGCCCTGCTTTATTTTGGCCCCTTTCCTAACAGTCTAGCCGAGCAGCAGAAACCTAATCAGAGGAGCTACGTTTCTTCTTGGAAATAGGGAAAAACAACTTCTTTCTCAGACATCATCTCTAAAAGTTGACTGAGATTTAAACCATGAATATAAACTCCTCGAACATGTATTTGCCTTCCACTGAAACTGGGTCTTTTTTTTTTTTTTTTAATCCTTACCCTAGGATATGTTTGATTTTAAAGAGAGAGGAAGGGAGAGGGAGAGAGAAACTTTGGTCGGTTGCCTCCCTTACACGCCCTGACCTGACCGGAGATCAAACCTGAAGCTTAAGTATGTGTCCTGACTGGAAATCAAACCCACAACCTTTAGGTATACGGGGTGATGCTCCAACCAACGGAGCCACCTGGCCAGGGCAAAATTGGGCCTTTTAAACCTCAGTTCTCTCCATTTCAGCAATGCCCCTCGCTTTCTGCATCTGCACTGGCGATGCCATAGGAGCCTCCCTGACTAGTAGACCTCCCCATGGACTTGGTGGATGCGGCTGCACCCGGCTAAAGCAGAGAGTGTAGAGGAAGCAGAAAGCTGGAATGAAATGCATTTAATAGGTGCTCCTAGAAAAAGGAGCCAGGGCAGGTCAAGCAGGTGGGAGGAGATATAGAAGAAAAATCCATAGACATAGTGTTGAAAAATCCAGGAGGAGAATCTGCAGATCTATAGAGACAGAAAGTAGATTGATAGTTGCCAGGGCCTGGGGAGAGGGGAAGTTGGGGAGTGACTGCTAGTGTGTACTTTGGGGATGGTGCAAATATTCTGGAATTGGTGGTGATGGTGACACAACTTTGTGGACATATTTTTAAAAAATCACTGAATTGTACACTTTGCAACAATAAAAAAAATAAACTTAAAAAAGGGAAATCCAGAGGCGAAGAGATTGAAACATGAAAAAGTAGTCAAGGCCATCTGATATCGAAGAAGATGAAGACCCGTGGAAAGGCTATGGGATTTGGTGATTAGGAAGCCAGTGGGCGGCTTAAAGAGAGTAGTTTCAACAGAATAGTCACTCCCATTTCTTCTCCTTTCTGCTACATCAATTATAACTTATAAGGTTATCCCTTCATATACTTTTATCTCTCCTGGCAGAATGTGTGATGGTTCTGCAAGTTCAGGAATGGGTTCAGTTTATATAAGCTAAATGGACATGGCGGATGAGTTTGTGAAATTTGGATATATGCTCATGCTCACTGGGACGTAGTATAAGTGTGTCAGTCTTCCTGCCCTTCTAACACCAAACCCATACTACAAAACCAGGTCAGCACACATCGTCTTAATCCCCAGCATCGTTTCCAATGGCCCTAAATGAAACAGGATTGCCTCCTTTGAATTCTGATGGTAGCTTTCATGGCATGGCTATCTGGCAAGTCATTTGTCCTGTCTTGTGTCAGTTCATTGATGGAGTCCTGTTGGCCTCATGACCCTGGGTCAACCTCATATATTCTTGGAGCCATATTTACTCAGTTTATAAACTGAGAGCAGTAAACCTTAATTTGAGCACACCTTATGAGAAAATTATATAAAATTGCTTTGAAAACTGTTAAGCAAATGTAAACAATGATTAATTGATATTGTTTTCAAATTAGAGACAATTAAATTCTTTAGTGTGTTTGGCTTTATTTTGGTGTAGGACTAGTTCCCTGAATACCCTATTTGTAGGATCATAGGCTTCGCATCTCTGTACACCTTACTAAGGTCTGCCTTCTTCAGTCCTAATGGGCTGAATTGAATACTGTTTAAATGAGAAAAATCCACTATCATACTGTGATTGCCTTCTGTATTTCCTTAACCTTTTTTTTTTAATTTGTTCAATTCTGCTCTCCAGGGTTCCCGAACGAGCCCGCTGCAGTGATTGCCCTCAGCACCATTAAGGGGTGGCTGGCCAGGAATCACCACGAGGTAGGGAAAACTACACAATCACTGAACATGCAAGATGGTATAATTTCAGCCTTAATTTCAAAAGAGCAGATACATGTATTTTATAAATATCAAGTAGGCCTGGTCATTGAGCCAAAGCTAGGTGGCTTGGGTTACATGGGTGATTATTTTCCTGTAATTAACTTACTGGAGGGACTATATTGATTGGTTTTCATGATGAAGATGGGCAAAGTGATTGGACTCATTTAGCAATGATCTCATTTTTACATCTGTAACTAGTATAGGTCTTGTGTGTAAGAGAGAGATCAAGAGATCAGGTGGATGACGAATAAGGGTTTGTCCTGTGCTATTTCCCTTCAAGAGTTAAGTTATCTTGGTTGACAGGAGATTCCTGGTGTAGAGTTAAGTTTTGGTATCCTGAGTTTTCTTTATATATAGCTAATCACTTCCCTAAAGCGACTTCTGAGTGTGAGATTGGAGGGCTTGGATTATTGATAGCTAAATAGTCATGATCAGGATTTTTTATGAAACTAAATGCTTCCATCAGAGTGTTCATCATGCGTCCTATTCTGCCTATTTAATAATATCTTTGGAATTTGTTTTTTGATGAACAGGACAATTACTCAAGTAAACAGAGTAACACAATAGGTAGAGGCACTGTGGAGGCTCAGATGTCAGAAGTTTGGCAATTAACATACTATAACAGGTTTTATACAGTGCACAACCTTGTGCATTTTCTTATTTTGTTTTTCTTCTCAGATATTCGTGTGCGTGCTATAAAAAATGTTGTTCCATTGATGATGGACCATGAATTTAGCTCTTGCCTTGGGATGAATTATTTGGAAATGTTTCGGGATGGAAATAGACTATGGGAGTTTCCTAATGAGAGAGAGCTCTTAGTGCCTTGGTGTGTTTAAAAAAACAGTAGTGTTATTTTCTGCTAATTACAGTAATTTCAGTATTTCTTAAACAGATATAGACATTGTTATCTCAAATAGAAGCGAAGACCAAATGGCAAAGCATCTGCATTTTGCTGCTCGCTCGCTCTGTCCCTCCTACTTTGAAAGGCATACATGTGGCAACTTCAATGTAGAGGATAGTTCTAATAACCTCCAAGAAGCTGAATAAAGAAATCTGAAATAGCCAGTTTGCAAAACACATCTTTGACAAGTACTATTTTCATGACAGTCTTATGAAAAATCTAGGATAGGTATTGTTTTTCTTATTCTTGTCTAGAATCAGAAAGTTAAATGACATACTCAAGCCTTTGGAGTCACAGAGAGAAGAGCCTGACTCAGCCCGCCTGACTCCCAGTCATTCCCCCTGGGAATGCTCCTGAGGCAAGGGAAAGGATGTTAGACCCTCTCAAAGCTGGTCTCTTCAATCTCTCTCTTGGTCATAGTAAAGGCCCCTCACCTGGACCATCTGCTTTGCAGCAATGTAGAGGGTTTCAGGAGTAAAAGTTGACAAATGAGCTAGTGTATTGGTGCAAATACTTTATTTCCAATAAACTAATAAGATGTTCCCACTGACGGAACTTCACATGTCATCTTGGCATGTGATGCGAGTGCACGTAGCAACATGAAACTTCAGGATGGTGATGTTGGTCGTATTTACAGCTCATTGATGAGTTCTCCTGGTGGATTCCCTTTAGTTAGCTATTCAGAAAGCTATTTTCCACAGACATGTTAGCTCAGTGTTTCCTACCTCATGGTTTTTGCTCTAATGTCCTTACTAGCCTACTCTGCCTTTGAGTCTGTCTTTTCGCTTTCATACCTTTTTCTTGCTTATTTCTTGAGTCTATTGTCAAAAATGTAGATAATTTGATTTGAGAAACACTCCATTATCACCAGTGCAACTTTAAACATATTCTATGCTAATTCTCTTTTAAAAGGCTTCTTGTTTCAATGTGTATTGGCTAATGTCAACAACTTAACTTGAACAAGTCAGATTTTACTTAATAAATGGCTTATAAGTGGTAAGACATGGAAAAAGCTATATAAATGGATTAGAAATATTTCGATTTATTTTTTGCTCTGTTTAAAAACAAACAAACTAGAGTAAGGATTTATGGAAGAGTATAATTCCTTATTCAGTTTTCTCTCCATTGCAGTATTATTTTGACATCCTGATTGTTTAAGCTACGTATTTATTAATTTACTCTTCTGATGAATATTTATTAAATACCAGTAAGCACAAGATACTTGTCCAGATACCAAGTAGAGAACACGGAAAAACACAGTTCTTTCCTTATGATATTCATAGTCTAGGAAAAGAGAAAGGTAAATTAAACAAATGAAGAAATAAGATAGTTCAAAGGCTACAGAGTAAAACAGGCCGTAGGATAGTTAGTTAGAGGGGGAAGTGGTGTTGGATAATGCGGAGGCGCCTCCTCCGAGGTCCTAACCTTGGAGGGAAGGTTTGTACCATGGGAAGGAGCAAGCTGCTCCTCGCAGGGACCTTGGGGTGGCACATTTCCCCTGGAGGGAAGACAAGCGGAGAGCCTCGAGGAGAGAACAAATTTACTACTGTTTGCGAGCAATTATAAGAGAGGCTGTGGTTGAAGCGGAGAGGTGAAATGGCAGGACACAAATTTGGACAAATAGCTAGAGGTCCGGTCATAGAGTGTTGGGGTTTTCCAAGAGACTTTGATTTTTATTCTAAGTCTAATTGGAAGTTGTTGAGGGTTTGGGCAAGGAAGGAATAATTGGATTTACCTTGAAAAGGACCAAAAAAGTCTGGCTGCTGCTTGGAGAATGGATCTGAGCGATGTCAGAGTAGAAAAGGGACAGTGCATAGAATGCTCCCTCACATTTTGCTGTCCAGAGCAAGGCACCAAGGGGACAGGCAAGTGCAGGTCTCTCATGTGTTCAGAACAGAAGCAACTGGGTATCGATGAACGATAGTAATGTCTGTCATGGTGGGAGATCAGATGCGGTGTATGAGGAAAACAGAAGAGTCAAAAATGACCACTAGGGCCCTGGCTGGGAAGCTCAGTTGGTTGGAACATTGTCCGGTACCCCAAAAGGTTGCGGGCTTGATTCCCAGTCAGGGCGCATACCCAGTTTGCAGGTTCCATACCCGGGGGGGCGCATACGGGAGACAGCTGATCAATGTTTCTTTCTCACAAATCTTCTCTCTCTCTTTCTCCCTCTCTCCCTCTCTCTCTAACATCAATAAAAACATATCCTCAGGTGAGGATTTAAAAAAAAAATGACCGCTAGGTTTTCGGCCTGAACACTTGGATAAATTTTGGTGCATTTACTGAGAAACTTGGTAGAGGAACNGTCGATGTTTCTTTCTCACAAAGCTTCTCTCTCCCTCTCTCCCTCTCTCTTTAACATCAATAAAAACATATCCTCAGGTGAGGATTTAAAAAAAAAAAATGACCCCTAGGTTTTTGGCCTGAACACTTGGATAAATTTTGGTGCATTTACTGAGAAACTTGGTAGAGGAACATGTTTATATATATTTTTTAACAAATTAAGAAAATACGAATTATGTTGCAGACAGTGAAGTCCGAGTTGATTTCAGATATAGAATGAAGATTTTTAATGAAATGTTGGCTATTTGATCCTGAAGATCAAGAAATAAGTCAGAACCAAAGACATGATCAAATCAATCAGATTCTCATAACCTTGACTCGGGTTTGGGTCTTAGTTTGAGACTGGCTGCAAGAAATAGAAATATACTCAAACTAATTTATATAAAGAAAGATGCAGTGCATAAATAAATTATATAAAAAGTCTTGAAGGTCACGGACTGGAACTAGAGCAGGGCCTCATGAGTGACCGAAATTACAAACAGAACAACCAAGAAGGAGCCAGTAGTTCATTCTCATGCTTCTCCCACCTTCTCCTTGTATCTCTGTTTCATTGTTATTTTATGATTTCGCACCGTCTTCCCCGCTCATGCACCTGCTCAGCATGTGCCCACCCATTCGTGGGTCAGTCATCCCTGCTTGAAGCAAGGCTGGGGTGGAGTTTGGCGGGTGAAGATGCATCTTCTGGGATTTCCAGCTGGTCAAGTCCCCTGAAATTTTCTTTAGAAAATATGAGGAATCCATGTACTATGACTCTCCTGTCAGCCGCTGTATTTTCCTCAGTCAGATGAGAGGGCGATTCAACGGTCCACATCTCCAAGGCGTTTGACCATAAATAGTAGTCATGTAATGTGATCAGTGAGCCTTCCTGTGCCGCCATCTACTTGTTATCTGGTTTTTAAACCATCGGGAAAGGGTACTTCTTTTCCAAAACAATAGTTGATTTAATCCTATTTAAGTACACCGCTCACCTCCAGCTTGTCTGGACAGATATTTTCACATCCAGAGGTCTGACTAGAGCACTTGGGCCCGGAAAAAAATCACACTTCTGTCACCCACCATCCACTTATTTCCTTTGCCCAAAGTCCGAACTGCGAGGAGGCTGTTGTCACCACATATTTGAGGGTACACGGGGACTTGAGGGAGCCCAGCTGAACAAACAGTACGGTCGGCTCTGATTGCAGGGACTGCAGCAGACGAGATGGAGCAGCCCTTTAATAAAAAGATGAAGGAGAGTCCTCAAGACGGTATATCTGGGGCACAACAAATGACTTCCCAGAACCAAAAGTTAGAATAACTTGTGATTGAAAAATTAAAAAACAAAAGAGAACATTCACTCCTGAGAATTGAATTATTGCTCTGAGAAGACCAGAGAGATGAATTATCGTACAACATAGAACAGAAATGCAAAGAAATGGAAATTATGGCTGAAGAGATAAGATGTGTGGCAGAGAGACGCAGGAACCAAACCTGAGGTGGGCAAAGAATGAAGGTTACCCACTGGCATTTTCGGCTAAATTAAGCATTAAGAACTTCCGAGTTTAGAAAATCAAAAGCAGAGAATAGCAGTGTGCTATAAAAAATGGACAGCATGTGGCATAACCTTCCCATAAGTGCCCCTTTTTCTCAAGTAGAAACTTTATTACAGAGACAAGTGAGCAAAATAAGGGGCCTTCATGGAAATGAGCAGCGGAAATGC